CGAAATTTTGAAAACGCTGTATCTCCGAGCCCTTTGAGGTACAAACGAAAGTAAGGGAGGTACAAATGATTTTTTTTCGAATGCCGTTGGTCCCATTTCGATATCTTAAAAATTGGTGATTTTAGCTATATAGGGGTTGCGCAAAAATTGAAAAGTTCTGTATCTCCGAACCCTTGGAGGTACAAACGGGTACAAACGATTCTCTTTCGAATGCCATTGGTCCCATTTCGATATCTTGAAAATTGGCTGACTTCCCCTCTTGGCGTATTACCGAAATTTTGAAAACGCTATATCTCCGAGCCCTTTGAGGCACAAACGAAAGTAAGGGAGGTACAAACGGGTAAAAACGATTCTCTTTCGAATGCCGTTGGTCCCATTTCGATATCTTACAAATTGGCGAATTTTGCTATATAGGGGTTGCGCAAAAATTGAAAAGTTCTGTATTTCCGAACCCTTTGAGGTACAAACGAAAGTAAGGGAGGTTCAAACGGGTACAAACGATTCTCTTTCGAATGCCGTTAGTCCCATTTCGATATCTTTAAAAATGGCCGACTTCCCCTCTTAACGTATTTACGAAATTTTGAAAATGCTGTATCTCCGAGCCCTTTGAGGTACAAACGAAAGTAAGGGAGGTACAAACGATTTTCTTTCGAATGCCGTTGGTCCCATTTCGATATCTTAAAAATTGGTGATTTTATCTATATAGGGGTTGCGCAAAAATTGAAAAGTTCTGTATCTCCGAACCCTTGGAGGTACAAACGAAAGTAAGGGAGGTACAAACGGGTACAAACGATTCTCTTTCGAATACCGTTGGTCCCATTTCGATATCTTGAAAATTGGCCGACTTCCCTTCTTGGCGTATTTCTGAAATTTTGAAAACGCTGTATCTCCGAGCCCTTTGAGGTACAAACGAAATTATGGGAGGTACAAACGTGTACAAACGATTCTCTTTCGAATGCCGTTGGTCCCATTTCGATATCTTAAAAATTGGCGAATTTCGCTACATAGGGGTTGCGCAAAAATCGAAAAGCGCTGTATCTCCGAACCCTTTGAGGTACAAACGAAAGTAAGGGAGGTACAAACGGGTACAAACGATTCTCTGTCGAATGGCATAAATGAAATTAAAAAATATTAAAGTTGGGCGCTGGCCATTTTTTATATTTCATTTTTTGTTTAACTGTTTGGCGTACAAACGAAAATAAGGGAGGTACAAACGGGTACAAACGAAGTATAAACGCCCTATAGTATTAATTTTTATTTTTGATAAAGTTGGGCGCCAGGTTCACATCGGTACTTTAAATACACAGAGGTATTGTCAAACACAAAAATGACTTTGTGTTTGTAGACCTTGCTGCAAATTCCCATGGGTTTTTTCATGGGTTCCTATAGATAACTATAAGATTCTATAAGAGCTTGTGTAGTTACCTATATGTATTCGTAGGACATCCATAGGAATGCAATAGGTTAGTATAGGTACCCACAGGAATGTGGACAGATGCCTCCATGAGAACTAAAAGGATGTATAGGATACCAGTTTGACGTATAGTAACATATAGGCGTATGTAAGACAGTGGGGAGGTACCCCATCGAAACTGAAAGTGCCTATAGGCTCAGGATTGGCAAAAGTCCAAATTTTTTGGATAAAGTCCATGCCAGTAGTAAAAACCGGTATTTTCCGGAAAAAACCGGCAAAAACCTGGTCTTTTCTATTAAAAATAATCAAATAAATAGATTTGATTATTTTGAGTAAAAATACATTAAAAGGAAGACATAAGGACCCTGTATGGGCTTGCTTTGAATCTTGTACAGTTGATAACATTATTAAGCAGAAATGTATTGCTTGTGGAACATTAGTTAGTGGAAAAGCTCCACGACTGAAACAACATCTTCAAAAGTGTAGTAAGTTTGAAAAGAACGATGATGATAATTCAAGTAAAAGTGAATCAAACAGGAAGAGTGAAATGAATAAATCAAGTAAAAAAAGAGATGCATCGATACCGAATCACCTTCATGTTCTTATATTTAAAAAAAAAGCAGCAGTTTTATAGTTTTTACCAGTTTATTATTCCAGTGGATAAACTCCGGACCGGTAAAATCCGGAATTTACCCTGGTTTTTTCGATCCACTGGATTTTTTCTACCAACCCTATATAGGCTATCATAGGATAATGATGTATACACATTTCTGTCCTAAATACACCTAAATGTTCCTATACGTCAAGATGCAGTATCCTATAGGTCTTTAATTCCCATAGGCATCTCTTTCGCATTCCTATGGGTACCTATACTAACTTGAGAGAAGAATTTTATAGAAATAATTAAAAATAATTCAAACTGAATATAACTCCACATTATAAATTTAACAGGGTGTTTTTATATATATTTTAGGTTAATATTCTTATGGCTTCTGCGGGTGCTTTCTATATAAAGATTATGCGTTTGAAAGGTTTTCTCCGTGTCTAGATCCATTCTTGAAATTCCAACGTTTCGTACTAAATTTCCTATGTCATGCTATATATACATGCTGCGTAAATCCTGTAGGTATCTACTGTAAAAAATTTAGAGGAAATAGGCACAACAGAGAAGCTATCAGCGTCATGGCTGTGTGGCTCAGTGACAGAACGGAAGTCTACCAATTCGGAGGAAAGACCAGGCCTGGGTTCGAGACGAGGAACACCTGATATTTTTCTCTGTTGTCATCAATTCTTTACACTGTACAAGCTCCTACAGAGGCTGTGTTCCAAAATTTACTGTCAGCACTGAAAATCTATAGTGCACATAACATAAACTATAGATTTTCAGTACTGGCAGCAAATTTTGGAACAGAGCCAGAATCTTGGTCCTCTATAGGAACCCATGAAAAAACCCATGGGAATTTACAGCAAGATAGGAGCCTCCTCCCATGGGGACCTGTCGAATTTACCATGGGTACCTATGGTTAGGCAAACCCATAGGAAAATTCCCCATGGGAAATGCAGGGTGCAGACGGCCCTAAGAGGCTAATAACTAAGTTATTCGGTACACTGCTAAGTTCGTGTTTGAACCATGAGGATATCAAATCTTTTAGAATGAAAAACAAAGTGTCAACCGTAAGGGGAGGAGAATTACTGGGCTGGGAAGGATATGAATCCCCCCCAGAACGAGCAGTCCCGCGCGACAGATAAGTATAGGCGGCAGCACCCCGCTCGGCCCGTGGAGGCCCCCTGCCATTGGGAAAGAAAAGCTATTCCGAGTGAGACTTATACAAATTACCAGTGGCAGCCATATCTTTAGGGCGCCTGGAACGCGTAGGAGAGGAGAAAGGGACGGGTGATGCGTTTTTCATGTCCTGACGAGAAGAGGAGGGAAGACCCGTATAGTCTCTCGCCCTATGCTTGGTGACCGAGGCATATAAAAGCGCTTGTGCATTTGCGCTGGCAGAAAAGCCGTTAAATGGAGGATCCTGGTCAGATTAAAAATTGAAGGGCGCAAAACTATTATTTGTCGGACAATTAAGGTTGTCTCGGCCGTATGGATGGAAGAGGCTTCCTTGTCGGGTCTGCCTAGGAGCAGCGTTAAAAAGAGGGAATTTGTTGAAATCTAACCACGGATCTAAGAGACGATCTGCTATTCGAATTGCTAAGTGAAATTCTGATCTTTGCTTCCCTTCGCCAGATGTTCTCGGCAGCCGCCAAATGTAATACAGCCTTGTGTTCCACGATTATTGGGCAATCGTGTGAAGTCGCAAAGTGACCGCCCATACAATTAATACATGTTGGCGACTGCGATTTGAGAAGGCACACGGCATCTCCATCATGTATCTCCTTAGGATCCTTACCGCAATAAAGACACCTGCCGCGAACTTTGCAATTTGCGCTTATATGGCCTACTCTGTAGCAGAAATAGCAATTACGCACGCGTGGAACATAAATCGAAATTGCACGCTTTATTTTAAAAAGAGCTACGTAGTCGGGGAGCCGTTGCCTCTCAAATTTGATGCAGAGCGTGCGCGAGGTAGCATAAGAAATTTTTCTATTAACTTTTATGCGCTTGTTTAGTCTGGTGACGTCTAGAACTTTAACGGGGGATTCTATGTATTGTTTGACTACTTCTACATTTATCTCTTGAGCGACGTCTTTAATGATACCAGTTCTGATGACTCTCTGTAATGGAATAAAGGCTTTAAACTTGTGTTTATCCAAGAGTGGATTATTAAGCAAATTATTGGCGGCCTGTACTGAATTAAGTTCGATCGAAACTTAGCCTCGGCCAATTTTCTTAACCTCTCTTATGTCACTTTTATTTCTGTAACGATCCGCCCGACCACTGTAGGGCGAAGAGCCACGGGAGGCGATACTGTATTATTGTCGTTTACTTCGTTGTTAACTGTGTGAATGTTCACTATAAAGGGGGAGGGGGGGGGGGGATCCCGATCAGAATAAACGCGGCGCATGAGATGAATACTACGAGAACGAGTCTCACCCGATGCACAAACGCCCTCACCAGGACCTGCAAACTGGCCGTACCAGCATTAGTGGCGCCTCTATGATATATTCCCATGTAACTGAACTAAATGAATGTATAAGTACGTGTCGGTAAATGTAAGCATTATATACGATTTTTGTGAATTTTTGGAAAGTGTTGCCGGTGGCTTTGACTGTGCCAGACTGTGCCTAGCAAGCTTGGCCAAATTTACCTCAAATTTACCTCGTCATTGAGGAAGAAGAAGAAGTGTTCAATAAACATTATTTGCAATAATGGTAAGAGCATGTTGCGTGTCCACTTGCCACTCTGGGAAGAATGTACCATCCCTATTGCCAAAGAATGTTGAACGTCGCAAGTTGTGGTTAGAAATTTATTAACTGGAAATTTATTACAATATAGTTAAGAAGGCATACACCACGAACGCCAGATGGGAATGGCTTGAAAATTTATTTGTATTTGAAATATTACAATAAAATAAACGTTTCGGTCTTAAATTAGACCTTCCTCAGTATTACAAAAATAGTCAATAATAATTTATTACGCATATAATTAGTTAAAATTAACGAATATAAGTTCTATATGTTGTCAGCAGATGATTTGATAACGCTCTTAAATAGATTTGATTATGCTAGACGGCACCGTGGAAATTTATTAACTGGAAAAGTGGAAGTAGAACATGACGCTAATTTTATGTATGTCGCGGCTAAAAGAATATATTCTAAGAAAAAAAATAGATTCCCTCATGTCTTTCGAATAGAAATTAGTATGTATGATACATATAATTTTTAATAAAGCATTGCAATAAAAAATAATTTTGTCTTTAATTTCATTTATACATATATGGTATATATATGCAACAATGGACGCCCATATTTAACCATATTGCACCATATTGCTAGTTCCGATTTACCGAGGAACATATCTCAAGCGGCGCCACAAACGCTAAATTATAGGGCTGTTTGGAAGCCCTGGCCCTCACTCTAAGCCATATTGTCGGCGCCATTGGAACGCGCTAAAGCAGGATTCAAAATGACAGGCGGCACCGACCAGGGTCTGCAAGCTGAGGCCAAAACCGAGGTTTTACTTGTAGTAACCGCGCGAATCCTTGGTGGCGCTGCTATCCCTGCAAAACGAAGTATGCTCTCACAAATGTAGCCAAAACCTATGGTTGTAAGCATGATGCACAATGGTCAACAATGGTTCTAAGCAGCTCTAACACACACAAATATGAAGAATAGAATAAGTAGCTCTAAGCCCATCCACATCTAAGCCTGTCTAAGCCAATGTTTACATGTATTATGTTGTTGACGAATTATGAAAAATTAAATCTAACAGGTATGTTAGATTTTTACATGTATATTCTTGTATTTACTTTTATTATTTTTATGTATCTAATATTGTTTATATTGCATATAAATTATATTCTATAAAGTTTAAAGAATATATAGTTTATTATTGTACAGAATATAATTTATATTTACAGGATAAAATAAATAATTTTTGTAAATTTTTTCTATGTTCTTTATTTCTATTAGCTTTTAGCATTTTGCCTCTATATAATTAAAATAAGAATATCTTTCTCCTTTTAATTATTTCTTTTAGTATGACATTATTTTATAATTATTTGTAATCCTTTAAAATAAGAAATGTGCTTCTCTAATTCACACAATAAATTATTATTTTATATAATATCTAAAACTATAAAATAATTTAGGTTGTTTCGATCAGTTCCGATATTTACTGTCAGTTTAAAAATCTATACGTACGTAACGTATACTACAGATTTTTAGTACTAGCAGTGAATATCGGAACTGATTGGAACGTAAAGATCAGGTTAGCTCATTTGAATAGGTCGCCATATTGATTTAATTCGGCCCCGCCAACTCCAGTTGGCGCTTTCCGCAGTGACCTCTTCTACTAAAAGGACAGCTTGCAGGCCCTGGCACCGACCCAACGCCGGGCCTATTGGGCGTGGCGCTGAACCTTTTCGACTTACCCTGAGATGCCTCCGTGTCGACTTCACGGTCCCTGGTCGTTTTCTTTCTAGACGACATATCATTCTCACAATCAAGAGCCATAGGTACTGTGGAATCAGAAGGATCTTTACTCAGAACGCCGGTTGAGACTCGGCGACCGAGTCGGTATCCGACCAGGATGCAAATTCCTGAGGGGGAAGAGGAGAGGATACACTGTGCAAAAGAGTCTGCCTGTTCACAAATTCACTAAAATGCTCAAGCATTACGTTTAGACGCGGAGAGAAAGCCCGGATCCTCATACGGGCAACAGCGCTTTGACACCGAACGCTTATTGATGAAAAACGGGCGATAGGGGTAAATTTTATCCCCACAACCGGCTTTTCACCAATTAGCGCTCTGTGTCAAAGCGCTGTTGCCCGTATGAGAATCCGGGCTAAGAATCCGGCGTGGATGCGGGGAGACAACATGGCGCCGGTTATCCCCTCGCACCGCCGGCCGAGGCCGAAGCCGCGCTCATGAGCTCGTACCGATGTTAATATGCAAATGAAGGAGTCACTGGCAGCTAAGGCGTCACAGCTAACCTGCTGAGAAGCAATAAAATAAACACGCGAGGCATAAATCCAACTGCCGTGTACAAGGAATCCGAAACTCATTCGAACGCGTCCACACCATACGAAGCACCATTCGCGACCTATAGAGTTCAGTCACTGACTACATTTACACGGCACCCTTAATCGAGTTTAATAACATCCGTAGTTATGAAACTGGCCAATCACAATCATTCCATTCTCCCGACGAAAAGCTATGATTGGCCAATTTCATAACTACGAATGTTATTAAACCCGATTAAGTGTGCCGTGTAGCAGAGGT